ATTCCTGATTAGCAGAGTCTCTAGAAGCATAGCAGCAGGGTGGAAGTTGAAGAGAGCTTCGAGGCAGTCTCTTTCTCTGAGTCTTCTCAAGCTGTCTCTGCTACATAGGTGTTCTTAACCATTTTGCCAATGGAAAGCTCTTACCAGGAAAGATCTCTAAATTGCAAGCTGCCAGCCACTTTCTATGACAGTTCTCAGCTGCTGCAAGTTAATCACTTCTGCCAGCCTAAGCAACCATTCCGGTAACAAGCAAGGGGGCAGAGCCCCCAAAAGCCCCACCGTAGCTACGGGCATGTCATCCAGTGATGACAAAGTACTGAGATACATTCTGAAACGTGATGGAATTTTGCTCTGCAGGTCATCCGGGACATTCTGCTGATCGGGCACCGGCAAGCTTTCGCCTGGGTGGACGAGTGGTGTGGTGAGTAAGCCCATTGGCATGTTCCTGCTTGCATGTGAGTAAAAGGGGTAGAGACAGCGCATCAGCCCAGCAGAAAGCCATCTTTCTGCCACATTCCTGAGTCACCCTTCTCTCCCACTGGGACCTTCAGGGTCCCTGCCACTTTCCAATGTCTTCCCCACAAATTGACGTAGTTTCTGTCGGTGTGATCATGTTTTGCGATAGCCGTCATTTGGGATGATCCCTCCCCCCCGAGGCCCTGGTTCATTACCCGAAATTCGTAGCATTCAAAATCATTATGTCAGATTCGAGCCCTCCACTTCTAAGTGTGTGCTGAATTAACAGGCTACGACAAGACTGGTTAAAAGGTATCTAGATCGGAGTTCCCCAACAGGGTGCCCGTGGGCACCCTGGCGCCCCCCCGAGTGTCTTTTGAAGGTAGGCGGGGCTTTTGCCCAGCAAGTTTTCCAATTGGCCATTGGAGATTCGATTGGCTGTGCAATTTTTTTGTAAACGTTGCTTTCTCAGACGCTGCCGCTGCAGCTCGAAGGTCTTGACTGTATGACTGCAGGTAAGCTCCTGCGGCTGTTTTGTGGCTGGCCGTGTGCCTCCTCTAGTGGGCATTTTGTAGTGGCAAAATCCCAAAGGAGCCCACAGGCTCGATACAGTTGGGGACCCCCGGTCTAGATCTTTGGCCAGCATTCTCAGGTCGGTTCCCTGTGGCTCCGCAGCAGCGCACCGACAGAAATGCGGTTTCAGAATCTTATCAGTTTTTCCTGGAACCAGAATGGTGATCGCTCTGGATCTAGGAAACTGCTGATGGATCCATTTCTGGAACGGAGACCTGGCCAAATCCGGTCCCCCCAGGTTTCACATCAAAAACAAAGCAACCTGTGGTCACTGGGTGTTCTTAGAGGAGGGACTGTCTCTTCTGTCGAAGGGTCCTGATTGGGGGGGGGGCTGTCATGGCCATTTTGGGCCTAGCATCTGAAATATCTGTCCCCCATCCCTGCCTCCAGGGGCCGCAGGTTAGCATCCCAACTCCCCAGCTGCTTGGAGCCGATTTATTCCTCTCTCTAGCTTCTTGGGAAAGTTATATTCCCTTCGTTTTAGAGCCCGTTTCTTCCCAAGTTGAAAGGGGAGTAAAGGGATTAGATCGGGTTAACCGAGGGAAAGGGAAAGAAAAATTCAGACTGAAGATGTCCGGTCCTAATTTGCTAACACCACTAACTCTCCCCCCCCCCCCCCCCCCCCCAGGCAAGTCACTGTTTCTCTGCCTTTCAGCTCTGTGGTTCTTTCTGAGCCTCTCTGTCTTCCCATCACATTTTTATTTCCGTTCCCTTTTCCACAACAAACCCCCATGAGGCAGGCTGAGCTGAGAAAGACCCGAAGTCGTCTGAGCCGGGATTCGAACCCGGGTCTCCCAGTTCGTAGTCTGACTCTAACCACCACACCACACTGTTCCTCCTCTGTCTCCTGTTCTTTGGCAGCGCCGTTGCAGCGACGTCTGTCTGGTCCAATCCTGCCGGGGTGCACGTGTGCATAGTTTAACTGCTGAGGTGTGGCTGATCTCGTGGGTCTTTTGCACCTGATCCCGGCCGGATTAGTGGCAAGATAGTTCACCGCTACCCGTGGGCGAATCACATTTTTGCACGCACCTCTTCTTAGGAACAAAAACCCTCCCTGCGAGGAGGAAGGTGGTAGGGCGGAGAAGCGGATTGGCTAGAACCATTCTGGCTGATTTTACTTACCTGAAGTTCATAGGGGAGCATTTAACAGTGGGTTGCCTTACTGCGGAGTACAGGAGGGTGGATTCGAGCGTTGAATATTCCTTTGCACGAAAAACGGAACAAATTTCGCGCAACCAGAAAAGCAGAAGGGGAATCTTCTCTCCCTTTCTCTTTGCTTGCTTCTCGGGGAATTATTTCACATGGGGGGGGAGGGCACCCCAAAAGGCTGAACCTCTGTGACCTCCCCCCCCCACTTAAAGTCAGAAGTGGTATAGCCCGTCCATTCGACCACTTTGTTCCGACCTCGTTGTCCTGCATGTGTGAATCAGGCCTCAGCGCGATCCAGAAGCTTGTATCATCCTCTAGAGAAGCTTTGCCAAAGGGATCGGGCCTACCACACACCCCGAGCTAGCCGTTCCCCAGACTGGCAGAACATCACAGTCCAGTTTTAACCGTTTCTCTGCCTTGTATTAGCTGGATGGGATGTTAGACCTTGCCTGCCACCTGGAGCGAGGGGATCCGGATACTGGAAAGGTATTTGGAACGTAAGGGCCCCTGGGCAAAAAAAGACAGAGAGGATTTCTGCTGAGCAATGGGAGGCCGCCACTTAACTTTTATGCCCTGAAAGGTTTACATTTAGCATAAGAATTGCCAGTCTTTGGAAGAGGGCCCTTGCTGTGTCTCTGCACGAGTCCCTGTTTGGGGTTGGCCAACCTGTTGCTTTGGCTGTGTTCTTCCGGACACGTCTTTTCTCCTCGCTATCGGGGCCCAAAGAGCTTGCACCCTTCCCAGCCAGTTTGCTGACGTTAGCGGAAGTAGCTGTCCGTACATCCTGCTGGGGGTGGGACGCTCACAGAAGGTGCCTTTCAAGATGGTTTGGATGTCTTGCTTTTTCTCACCTCCTCCTCTCCTGCGTAATGACACTAACATTCTTCTGATTCTTCGTGCCTCTGCATCGGGCCATACCTAAAGCCCAGTTCCCTTTTGATGCACACGGTTAGGAAAACGTGAAAGATTTCAGTGGTCAATTGGCGAGGTCCTGTTCCCAAATGGGCCAGATAGTCTCCAGAAGCAGAGAACATAAGCCATGAGTAACTGTTGGGGGGGCGCGAAACGGTTCCTCTTAAAGGTGCGGACGCCCTCTCCTTGCGGAGGTATGGCTACTCCAGCGGCTCCCCTCCAGAAAGGGGGGAGGACCGAAGATGGGGAGACCAAGACGCTGTTGCCTTTTAAGTAATTGACGCTGCTCTTTATCTGTCGCCATGGCAACCGTCTCGGGCTGCGCGGCAGCGAAAGAAGACAGAGGGCTATTTTTCTCTAAATTCCGAGACCCGAGGCTACACGTTCCCCTCTTTGCTTCAATTAAAATCAAGGGCCACTTAACTTCCGTGCCCTGAAAGGTTTACCGATAGCGAGGGAATTACCAGTCCTCGGAAGAGGCCGCTTGCCGCGACTCTGTATGAGTCCCTGTTCTGGGTATGGTCAACCAGGAATAGTCTGTGGGTGGGTGGGGTGGGGGAGCTGAGTACGTGGTATCCTTTCCCCCCACACCTCAAGTCGATGATGGATCATCGATTCTAGAGTGTAGCGTTTGGCCTTCTGCCCCAAAACTCTCCTCCTGTCGGTTGGAATTAGGGTTTTCCGACAAGAAGTGGGAAACCCTTTTTTCGCCATTGCATGCGCAGGGCCACTGTGGCCCATTCTGCATCTAGCACTCGCGCCGCTGTTTCACCAAACCCACGTTGGAACAGAAACTCCACCTCTGCATCGCATGCCACTTTCACGTTGATTGATTGATTGTCGGATTTTATGGCAGTGTCCCGACCGCCACACATTTTTGTCTTAGCTCAGGAAGGAGGGCTCCAGAGCAGACTAATTTATGCAGTAGCCAAATCACCCGCTCACAACTTTAATGCCAGCAGCTCACAAAGTAGAATTTTTGCTCACAGGGCTCCACAGCTTAGAGGGAACATTGCTCTGCAGTCAGTACGGCATCGGCCCCGGGGTATTAGAAGGTGGTTTTCAGCCGCATCTTTTTCTGTTCCCCTGGGTATAAGCTTTTGTGTGCATGCACACACTTTATCAAAGTGCATTTGATCCAGTCTGATCAGTTTCCGTTTATTAGGTTCAAAAGCCTATAGGCCATACACTATCAGAGTTAATTTTAAACTTTTTAAAAGGTCTTAAACATTTAAAAAGACAGTATAACAGAAATGCGCCACATCCAGGGCTATTTTTGGGCAGGAACGGAGTTCCGGCTGGCTCCTGAGTTGGCCACGCCCAGCAAGAACTCATTAGCATAATAGGCCACACCCAACAGCAGAGACTAATTAGGATTGGCTACATTAGGGGTGTGTGGCCTAACATGCAAAGGAGTTCCTGCTACAAAAAAAGGCCCTGGGTTTTGACAACAAACAAGGTAAACAGAATAAGAAGGGAAAGGTGGGTGTGGCTGGGTGAGCACACTTCTGGCAACATGGGGGTGTGGCCTAATGTGCTAATGAGCGGTGCTGTCAGGGTGTGGCCTAATATGCTAATGAGTTTCTGCTGTTGGGTGTGGCCTATTATGCTAATGAGTTCCTGCTGGGCTTTTTCTACAAAAAGAGCCCTGGCACATCTATTATACAATTATTGCATAGAATACTCAGCAGAAGTCTCAACTTTGTAGATTCGGAAAAGGGAGAAAATTTTAATAGCCATTTCCTCAGGAACCTTTCTTTCACAACTACATGTTTTGGGCAACAAAGAAAATATCTGGGCCAGTAAAGTTTGGTAAATATCAAAGGTATTTGATAAAGTGTGCTTTGCACACGAAAGCTTGCACCTTGAATCAACCTTTGTTGGTCTTCGAGGTGCCGCCGGACTCTAAATTTGTTGTGCTGCTTCAGACCAACAACGGCTGGCCAACTGGATCTGTGTTCCATTGTGGGTTTGGTAAAACAGCGGAGCAAATGCGAGATGCAGAACGGGCCTCTGTCGGCCCTTTGGCACCTTGACGCCTGGCCCGCGCAGCCGCCGCAGGTTCCGGAACCCCACGTGAGCGCTGCTTTGCATTATCGGCGGCTCATCGGTGATCTGTGGGCGCCGGTTGCCGTTGCCGTCCTTTCTGCCGCCTGTCCCTTCTCTGGCTGAGGACTGAGAGCGTCTCTGCGTCTTACAGACATGTCCCTGGAGGAGGTCCGTGCCTTCGAGACTCAGATGTACATGGCCACAAACAAAAACTTCGGCAGCCAGGAACTCTAGCTTCCCCGCCTGGCCAGCCCCGCTCAGGACTTCCGTTTTGTAGGTATATTTTCTTTGGGGGGGGGGTTGTTTTTGCCTGAATTTGCTCTTTTTTTGTTTTTGTGTGATAGCCGCGGCTGCCCTCTTCCACACATGCGCCAGGGTCCCCCTTTCTCCTGGATTCTTCTGCACACAAACCTAAAACGGGGTCCCACTGGCCGTAGCGAGAGAAGGCCGTCTAGGGGGCCCTTCTCCGTGGCATTATTTATTTATCTACTATTTGTTTGTAGCCCGCCCATACCGCGAGCAGTCTCAGGGCGGGGGACATCATAAAACAATGCAATCAATAAAATTCAAAATTTGAACAATTCAAAATGATAGGAAAAGGTAAAGGTTCCCTTGCTCGAAAGCCAGTCGAATCCGACTCTAGGGTTGCGGTGCTCATCTCCGTTTCAAAGCCGAAGAGCCAGCGCTGTCCGAAGACGTTTCCGTGGTCATGTGGCCGGCATGACTAAACACCAAGGTGCACGGAACGCTGTTACCTTCCCACCGAAGTGGTACCTATTTATCTACTTGCAGTTTCTTGCTTTCGAACTGCTAGGTTGGCAGGAGCTGGAACTAGAGACGGGAGCTCACTCTGTCATGCGGTACACTCGGGTCTCGAACTGCTGAACTACCGACCTTCCACAGCCTGCAGTTCAGCCTCTTAACCACTTGAGCCACCGCTAATAGACGTTAAAACACAATGGACATTGAAGCACAATGCTTCGGTGCATTTCCCGAAGGCCCTTTAAAGCCCTTAACGATCTGGGACCCATGTACCTTCGGGACCACCTCTCCTGATGTACCCCCAGAATAGCTTTACGCTCGGGAGAGAAGAACCTCCTAGTGGTCCCCGGCCCGAGAGAGGTCCAGCTGTCCTCAACCAGCGCCAGGGCCTTTTCTGCCCTGGCCCCTAACTGGTGGAACAACAACAAAGGATCTTGGGAATGCCACCCCAAAGGAAACCTGGGCATTGTAGTTTCACGGGGGTGCCAAGAATGCTTCGGATGAGAGTCTCTACTTCTCAGCAGGCAACAACACTGTTTTATGGAATGAGGCTCACTGAGGTGGTAGGCTGGAGTAGAATTTTTGGAGTGGGTTACTTCCAGTGTTCCCTCTAAGCTGAGCTAGTGTGAGCTAGCTCACATTTTTTTTAGCCTCCGGCTCACACATTTTTGTCTTGGCTCAGGAAGGAGGGCTCCAGGGCAGACTAATTTACACAGTAGCCAAATCGCTCGCTCACAACCTTAATGTCAATAGCTCACAAAGTAGAATTTTTGCTCACAAGACTCCACAGCTTAGAGGGAACATTGCTTCTGTTTTGTTTTTTAATGTCTCCCCCCCCCCTAAAAATCTCCCTACATTTGGTCAGCTAGCGCATCAAAGAGAGGACCGTGCTAAACCTTGCTCCCTGATGGGCTAGAATCATAGAGTTGGAAGAGACCTCCAGGGTCATCTAGTCCAACCCCCTGCACAAGGCAGGGAATTCACAACTGCCTCGCCCCACACACACACACCCAGTGACCCCTGCTCCATGCCCAGAAGATGGCAAAAAACCCTCTAGGATCCCCAGCCAAACCAGCCTGGAGAAAAATTGCTTCCTGACCCCAAAATGGTGATTGGCAATGACCTGGGCCATGAAAACGAAGCCCTGGGTGGCTCATTTCCCTCAGGGAGCTATTCAAAAAGAAAGAAACAATGGCGAAAGCTCTGCCCACAACCTGCTGTGATACAATCACAAATTCTGCTATCGCCTCAGTTTATGCGATGTGTGGGTCGTGGCTTCACAAAACTACAATTCCCAGGATCCCTTGAGGAAAGCAGTGACTATCCGGGCCTGTTGTTTTCCGTTAAGAACTGAGGTGTAGAAATGGCCAAAACACCTGCAAGAAAGCCTAGTTCCCTTCTTGACCTCAAGAGGGAGCTCGTAGACCAAAGTAGGCTCCCTGACTGGCTGCCTGGCCACGAAGGCCGGATTTTATCGTTGACCTGCCAAACGGCTTACGATGCCGTGGATTCTCTCCCGTGGCCCCTTTGGGGCTTCCGCAATATGGATCCTCTCAAGTTGGTACGGGGCGGGCAGCAGGGAAGCTACAGAGATCTGCTGTCCACCCACAAATCCACCTGTCCGGAAGGGTGACATGGGGTCAGTCACTTAGCAGGAAGAGGTGAATTTGCCAGACAGCTGGTATTCTGATGGTCTAATACCGTCCTGTCAGGAGACTGAATAGCCAATCGGTTCCAGAAAGGTCCAGCCCTGTCTGGTCACCCACCAAATCGGGTCAGGGAGTACCTCTGTCCCTCACCCGCCAGGTCCCAACCAAGGGGGTCTGACGCAGTTCGATGACCCCTAGGTGGTAAACTGCTTTGATACATAGCGTATGCGAAGGTTTTCACCCACCGCTAGTTAGATGTTTGAAGACTTGACGTTTGCAAGTCACTCAGATGGGCAGGGAATATATTTTTTATTTATTTACTTATTTTAATATTTCATTTTCTTTTAATTCCCATAATACAAGTTTATACATAACGTCATAACAAAGGAAGGAATAACATTTACACTTATTTATCAAAGATACCTACAATATTCCCAAAATTGGGTTGATTTACATTATATCTATTGTCCTATCTTTATAATCCACTTGGGAACGTTCCCAAAAACTTGATTCTACGTTCCGAAAATATGTCAATATACACTTCATACATCTTTTTTATATTTATTAGTCTATATCATAACAGCTGCGAGAATACTATTGGCTAAGAGTTGGAAAACGGATAAAACTCCCTCGAAAGAGGATCTAATAACTAAACTCCTTGAGTTAGCGCAAATGGATAATTTGAGTTTAATACTGCAGGATAAAGACCAAAAAATACAAAACAAAAGAATGGTTCAGGGTTTATAACTGGATAAAACGTGTAAAAATAAAATAAGAAAAATAAAAGTGGAAGGAGTTAATAAATGATATGAGACATGTAGCCTGATGCATTGACTTTAAAAATTTGTGTAATCGAAGATAATGAAATGTTTTTAATTAAACTGAAATTATGAAAAATAAACATGGGGGGAAAATATACACTTCATATATCTTTTATTTTTCTTACACACACACCCCGTTGCCCCCCAAATAATTTTCTTTCGATTATTATTACTTGTTGTTTGGCAATTTATTTCTTTACACTTCTGGTGTATAATTTTATTATACAACTATTACAATCTATTTATTTATTTTTAAAAACTGTCAGCCGCCTTTCTGCCCTGTGGGACTCAAGACCGCTTACCACGCAAACAAAACCGTAGCTCTGAAAGACACGTCGAAGGCCACCTTAAAAACTCCCATAAATAAAAACAAAAATCACTCAAAGGCAGGCCTAAATAAACCCGTCTTCAGCTGCCTCCTAAAGCTCGACAGTGAAGAGGCTGGGCACATCTCCCTGAGGAGCTTGTTCTATAATCGTGGGGCCGCCATTGAAAAGGCCCTCTCCCTTGTGCCTGACAGACGAGCTCCTTTGATTGGTGGGACAGACTTTTCCCTGTAAGCTCCTTGATTTCCCGCTCAGTTTTGAAAGCAGTGGTTGTGTGAGCTCTCTACCACAGAGGAACGTTTACTACATCATTAGGGCTGTCAGCTCTGAGTTTGGAAATACCTGGAGATTTGAGGGCGGAGCCTGGGGAGGGTGGGCCTTGGGGAGGGGAGGGACCTCGGTAGTGTATAATGCCATAGACTCGACCTTTCTGAAACGGCCGTTTTCTCCAGGGGAGGTGGGATAAATTAATAATAAAATAATAAAGAGAGCCAGTTTGGTGTCGTGGTTAACTGTGCGGACTCTAATCTGGGAGAACCGGGTTTGATTCCCCACTCCTCCACTTGCACCTGGCTGGATGACCTTGGGCAAGCCATAGTTCTGTCAGAGCTGTTCTTGAAAAAGAGCCGTTTCTGTCAAGAGTTCTCTCAGCCCCACCTGCCTCACAGGGTGTCTGTTGTGGGGAGGGGAAGGGAAAGGAGTTTGTAAGCCACTCTGAGACACCTTTGGGTAGCGAAGGGCCAGGTATAAATCCAATCTCTTCTTCTTCTTCTTCTTCTAAATAAATAAGCCATCTAGGTAGTTTGGAAATCAGACGTAATTCCAGGCAATCTCCATCTCCCACCCCCACCCCCCGCATGGAAGTTGGCAACCCCATTGTGTCTGCAGAAGGGAGCCCCCATAAGTTCCAGGTAGTATGGGATTCTGTTTGGGGTAGTGGTTAAGAGCGGCGGGCTGTAATCTGGAGAACCAAGTTTGATTCCCCACTCCTCCTCCACACGAAGCCAGCTGGGTGACCCTTGGGTCAGTCACAAGTTCTCTCAGCTATTCTCTCCAGAGCAGTCCTCAAAAGAGCTCTCTCAGCCTCACCTAACTCCCAGGGTGTCTGTTGTGGGGAGAGAAGGAGATTGTCAGCCACTCTGAGACTCCGAGTGAAGGGCGGGGTAGAAATCCAACTCTTCTTCTTGGGTCAGTTGCAGTTCTCTCGAGGGCAGTTCTCGAGAGAGCTCTCTCAGCCCCACCTACCACACAGGGTGTCTGTTGTGGGGAGGGGAAGGGAAAGGAGATTGTAAACTGCTCTGAAACGCCAAGTGAAGGGCAGGGTATAAATCCAACTCTTCTTCAGTTTGGTGTAGTGGTTAAGTGTGCGGACTCTAATCTGGGAGAACCGGGTTTGATTCCCCACTCCTCCACTTGCACCTGCTGATGTGACCTTGGGTCAGTCACAAGCTCTGGCACAGCTGTCCTTGAAAAAGAGCAGTTTGTGTCAGAGTTCTCTCAGCCCCACCCACCTCACAGGGTGTCTGTTGTGGGGAGGGGAAGGGAAAGGAGTTCTTAAGCCGCTCTGAGACTCCCAAGTGAAGGGCGGGGTATAAATCCAATCTCCTCTTCTTCTTCTTCTTCTTCTTCTTCTTCTTCTTCTTCTTCTTCTTCTTCTTCTTCTTCTTCTTCTTCTTCT